ATAATTACCCTGGCATGGTCAACATAGTATTAAAGAACAGTGAAAATGTTTTTCTTTAAAAATCAACTCTTAAGATTTTGAAAATCTTTATTTATACAAAGTTCAACAAGGGCCTGAAACTTTTTGTTACCAACTTTTTAACCATATCTATACTGGAGAGGGCAGTAGTGGAACTGGCTTTCTCTCTTTCTGCCCCTTCCCCCCTTTTGCTTTATAAAGATCAGAAATTTAGTGACAATCAACTCTTCCTGGTTTTGCAAAGACCAATGGTATGTATATGACATGAATTATACTATATTAACACATTATATAAAAAGGTGAGAATGATGAGCCTTTAACAGGTATTGTCGTTAACCACATTTAGTTAGCCATTAAGCTAGAAAGGTGTTGATAAAACAATTTCAGAGTCTGCTGAAAAAAATCTGGCCTGCTCTATCTACAGTTCACCTATTTAAGGAAAGGTATGTCATACAATTGATTTAAGCCCCACTTAGAATGGCCTGGCTTGGGTTACTGAAATGACAGATGCAAATTAAATGCCAACAATCTGAAATCAACAAATTCATCCACTTATATTTGTTTAAATAAATTAAACAAAATAAATTTATTTTAAACAAATATAATTGCTGCATTTATTAAGTTGCACAAAAGCCTTTAGAAGCTGGCTTTCCCTCCTAAGTAACTCCAATTGCTTTGGCTGTACCTTCATTCCATCTATAAAGTACCTGTATCGCACATTCCTATAAATGAGTGGATCTCAGTACTATAAAATCACCTGCACGGTTGATCTGTGACGTGTTTCTCACCTTCCGTATCAATTACATACGCTAATATTATTTATACACACACATTTATATATGTGTGTTATACACACATGCATATACAAATATATAGAGGATACCACACAGTTCTCTTGTAGTGATCAAACTAACAAAACAGCAAAGAAAAGCTTGAGAAGAAAAGTGATTTCATGGAATCTGCGTAATATCCACAAAAATATTACACTTCTTTTGTAAGCATTTAGATGTATTTAAGCTACTAAGATCATGCTAGGAAAAAATAAGGAAAAGTCAGCTCTTGTATATCTCACAGCCTTCTACCTCATGCTCCTCAGCCGAACCACTCAGCTTAAACCCTTTCTTTCATTCTGCTAATTAAATAGCTATGCTGGTACTTTATTTCATGTCACAATGTGATAAATATTTGCCCAGCGTTACAGGTCATATATTACAAAAACATTTCACTGGGTGAACTGTCTGCTGTCAATGGATTCTAGGACTGGAAATCACGGAATCAACAGATTGCTCTATGCTGTAGGCTTATGCTATGGAATTACTAAATTCATTTATTTGATCTATACTGTTCAGTTGATCTATACTGTTCTAAATTTTGTGCAGAAAATAATGTTGCATTTTAGTTTGTGCTTTTGTTTATTGAAATAGATTTGGAAACTGCATGTGGAACCTCAGACTTCTGTTCAGTTTCACATAGCGATTCACAAATTTCCAACAGGCATAACAGAAGGGATAACACCAGTTTTGATTTTAAACATTTATGTTTTTCTAAAGTAGCAGAGTAGTTACTTGGGGTTGGACAGGCTGCTTTCAAGACACTAAGACAGATGTGAATGTTCCTTAGTCCAATTGCTTGGTTTGTAAATGAGGACAAGTTTAAATCAGACCAACATGCACATCTTTTCTAAAAGCTCTGACAGCCTCCAATGCAAAACTCTCCTTTGGAAAACTTACTGGGATAAGGGGATAAAAACCTATTTAAATATATGAAAAATAAATAGAAAAAGGACAGAAACACGAAAAAAAAAAGTTAAGAAACTAAGTATTTCAATCTGTATGTTTATAGGTATGATTTAAGTGCTATAGCACATATAAGAGAATCATGTTTTGTTTGCCCATGTTTTATATACGGGTCCCTGCAAAAAGTTATACACTGGAGACAGTAGGGGAATTGCAACTACATTTCATATTCTGTTGCTAGGTTTTTGCTTTGGTACGGGTGCTTTTGCAGGCATCAGCTTTGATCTGCCTGGGCTTGTTGGCTCAGGCCCGGCTCAGGTGCCCGCGGGGCCGCCTCGTTTTCTCACAGCCTGAGCGCTCCCCCAGAGCAGCTCCTCACAAAGCTCAGCACGGCGCTTCCAGCCGTATTCCCAGCTCCAGCCATGCTGAGGGACACAGGCCAGGGCAAGCAGGAGCAGCTCTGCACAGCAGCAGCCTCCAAGACAGGGCTGATGCCATAAGCAGCCTCCCCATGCCCTTGGACGAAACCCGAGCCCCACACTAATGCCCCCGCTGCAGATCCCACGCACCTGCGCGTGTTGGAGAGGACCTGTTGCAGTCCCCAAACACCCAACCACCCAGTACGAAGCGTGAGATGCCCCATGTCATGCGCCAGGGACATTCCTCCCAGCCAGCTCTCTGCTCCAGACCTTCTACGCCGTCCCCACACAGCCCTTCTCCATCACCGCTGCAGTACAAGCTGCATTTCCAGCTCCCCCAGCGCCTTCCCGAGGGAATAAGGGAAATATTCGCAGCTGTCCCAGCTCCGCTTCGCCAGAGCCCCTGCTCTCCCCCTGCTGCTTCATCTGCCGCCCCCGCTCGGTGACCTGCGCGGCGAGAGCAGCTCCTGTCCCCGGCATCTCAGCCCTCTCCTCCCCCGGCCCTGCCCGGGGCCGGCGCCACCAGCAACATCCTGCTCACCCGCAGGAAAGTCAAAGCAAACCCGTTTCGATGTGCGATCTAAGTCACTGGAAATTGGAATTGGAAAAATAAATGGAAAACAATAATAATGAAAAAAAAAAAAAAAGAAACGTCAATGAAACGCGGCGCTTCAGAAAGGCTCCGAGCAACCGTCCAGCCACCGGGAGCGGGGACGCGGCCGCGCAGGAGGCCGGGGAGAGCCCGCGCCCCTGGC